TAATAAAAGCTCAAGTAATAATTAATTTACATAGACTAATTAAACTTTGTATTTATTTATTTCTTAGTCAAGTAGAAGCAATGGTAGACACAATCATGATCAATTAACGACACTTTTATCAATTCTCCTAATCCCATCACTTGGCGTATATTATTAATAATTTTTATATCATTTCATTTTTATTTATTTGATGTGCAGAAATCAACTCACCTTTAACATTTTAGGTCTTAAAGCAAATTAGAGGAACAATTTAGAGCTAATAATATATTTATATGCTTGTTTTTGAACCAATGATCAACTTTGAATATAACAAGAAGAGAGAGTCGGATTTATACACAACTTTGTCAAATAATTTTAAAGATAAGCTTGTCCTCCGTAATTCAAATATCAAAATGTTGCAACAAAACCGTAACGTTGCAACATACCCGCAACTTTACATATCACATAAAAATTATACACAGTGTTGCAACATAATCATGATGCGGTTAGACAAATTTTCTATTTACATTGTCTCACTTTTAAAAACATATTATTATAAAACATTTGATATGGTTGAGCATCTTTAAAAAATGACAACATAGCTTCTATGCGGAAGAGTATCAATACCATCAATATGATGATGATGACAATGGTGGTGTTGTTGATGATAATTTTACATGTGAACTAATAAACACTTCCGATACAAGGTCCAATAGTTCATTGGCTTCAAGTTCCAATGATTTAAGTGGTGGTTCCAGAAGACCTTTTAAAAAACGAATTGTAACACATGGTTTTGTGTGGAAAAAATGAAAGATTCAAATGGAAACGAACTTGTAATTTGCAAATAAAAAAAAAAAGAAATATTTTTACTATATATTAAAAAAAAATTTAGTTGACTAAGGATTTTTTTGGACGATTCCAACCTCTACAGAAAACATATTGAAAATGTACTGTCTTTCCTTAGCTTAGTATTAAAGACAGAATTAATACAAAGAACACAAAAGAAATAGATATTGGGATGTTGATTTGGGAAATATTTGCAGGACATCCATCATTTGATGATAGAGTTCATAATTATTGTTTATTGTCTTAGATATATGTGAAAGCTTACGACCACCAATATATCAAAAAGACCAACTATTGGAAAGCTTATAGGTTTGCTGATAATAAACCAGAAAATTTTTAATCCCTCAATTTGAAAACTACTTTAAAATACACTAATATTACGTGAAATAATAAATTAAACAATTGGTAAGTGATGAAAAAACTTGGAAGACTATATTAGGGAGGGAGGACATGCAAAGTTTATATTTACGTCAAATTAATTTCCAGATCCTCAAATCCTGATCTAGTACTACTTGTGATGCAAAGCTTTGTCAATAATGAAACAGTGATGCAAAAGCTTTACTATTTATTAAAATGGACAATGTTCTCAGTTTTTTTGCAGGTTTCACCAATGCAGTTTCGTGGAATGTTTAATCCAAAGATCTTAATAATAATTATATTAAAAAATTTCATAATCAAGTAAAAGGAGTTTATCAAAGATTAGTGAAAATAGCCAAAAGGTATTGTTAACAACTACAATTATAATAATAAAAATAATCTAGATAAACCAAATTTACTGAACAAATAGATTGAATCGAGCATTTTCAGGAAATTTGACTGCAATGGAAAACATCTTGATGCAAATCCTGAAGATAAAGAAAGTGAGTTTGGCTCATTGAATGATGAAAGAGAAAAGTAATAATTAAATAAATCTTTATATTTTTTTCTCTTTTAACAATTCAATTATTTATTATGATGTAACAATCTTTAATC